TAGTTAATTTATACATTAATAAAAAGTCAGAGGTTTTCCTGGCAGCTTTTACAAATAAATGATAAATTCTCAGTTTTTGACTGTACTCAAYGATTCTTTTATGAACCAAGGAGACGAACATTTGATTGTGAAACGACTCAGTTGAGTGAGTGAATAGAACAAGATCCAACATGCATCAGCGTGCAACTTCCACTCACTCCGGTGTCCTTTGATACGTTGAGTAGTGTATAAACCGGTATGTTTGCTCATGTTATCTGTTAGGGTTTCAACATCAGTGAAAATACAAATGACGTCACGCAGTTTTACCAGACAAGCCATGTCTGAACACAATCCCTGCTGTCTGTGTCCTAAGCCCAACAGGTGCATGTCATCAAACCCRAACATGCTCAACAACCAGCAGTGTTCTTATTCTGCACACCTTACTGCCTACAGTCACAAATAAGTTTATAGCAGAGTTCTCCAACAGACCATTAGTAGTTACAAATGCACGGAGAGGTCGGATCGTGGAAACCAAACTGTGGAAACWCCATTGGATTGAACAAATTAAACCATAAATTTAGGCCGTTATGCAGACCTGATATATTTGCTCTAAAATGATTTGTGTTCAGCTTTCCTCTAAAATCATAAAGGAGATTTTTCTTTAATATATTTAAGTTATTAATCTGCTTTTTGAGCTTGTTTTGGTACCGTTTTTGTTGCCATGGCTGATTATATATTATGTAGATACTGAATACACGGACTGTGGTAGCAAAGCAGAAACACRTTGGAATAATACGAGAAAAGTCTGYGTATGTGATAATCAAATATGRTTTAATTGTGAGCAACAATCGGAATTGTGGTATCCCGGGGTGGGGGTATTCCATTACCTCGAGCCTGGTGCCCACGAAGACGTATTTGAGGGAGTATTAGCCCGTCTGGGTTTCACCTGTTGAGGTCYGGGGAGCTGGGAATTGCTGTCCAAAYGGCATCTATATCATTCACAGAAGGACTAGATCTAGGCTTACTTTAGGGTTTAGCTTAGGTGTGACAAGAGGAGGGTGGAGCTATTACCTTTAGTGTAGTGTAGTGTGTAGTTTAATGATAAATGCATAAAATTCTGTAAATCAAAATCATGTTAAAATAAAGTTGTTACAAGTTACAAAATGATGTTTTTACTAGGGCTGGGCAGTAATTTAGTATCAATGTATTGTGATAGATGTGAMCAATATCAATGAAAGATTTGTCCAATCGAATGATTATTATTTCAGTGAATTCGATCCAGAACCGCATGCCATGCTGGRGGATGTAGGAAAGGTTTTAGCCTCAACCACTCACAGCCCAGCTAATCAAGGGGGTCTGGAGGACCRCTGTCATGCGTGTTTTACTTGTTTCTCTGCTCCAACACAGCTGATTCAGTGAGTGAATTCCCTTCAGTAGTTCTTCAGAAACCCATTGGTCACCAAWTCATTCTAATCAGGTGTTTTAGAGCAAAGAAACTTCTAGAAAACTGAAGGAAAGCGGCACTTGAGGATCAGGATTGCCCATCCCTGGGTTACACCCTTAGCTAGTTTKTGCTGTTGAGCATCTTGCAGATCCCCTATAGCCCACAAAAACTTCCTTTAAAACGCTGACACTCCAACATTTTACCTCTTTCAGTGTTTTCTCTGCTGTAGATTCCTCAGAAACATGGATATGTCTAATGATTAATCATAGGACACTATGGAATTGTCGATTGTGTCCCCAGCTTGAAGTGCAGATGGACCCTGCAGCTCTAAAAGCTCCTGGTTGATCAGAAAAYGGAACTATAGCTGCAGTTTTGAGATTCAGCAATTTGAAGGGCCTCGAACGCATCAGACCACTTTCACTTCCACGCCTGATTCAGCGTATTCATCCCACTGCTTTGTTTACTGCTTCCCGTATGAGTTTTAATGCCTTTTATGTTTTTAACTCTACAATATAAAAAATGAAACGGACATTAWATGCCTCCCATAAATTTCCTGAGGGCATTAGGATGTGGTCTGCTGGATAAACTGGTTCAAAGAAAACCTTAACCACAAATAAAGTTTTACTTTTAACAATTTAGTTTTAGGAATAAATCTTTTTAGACAGGAAATGATGGAAATAATCTATTTTGTTGCTCCTGATAGGTTTATTACTGCATTTGAAAGTATCTGGTTGGTAGTATTTTAATACAGTTTTTGTTAGACAAGTGAAAGTTTTATATTTATGTAGAGCAGCAGACTGGGATACTCTCTTATCATGAAGAATCATGTTRTTGTTTTCTTTGTAGTTAACATTCTTGAGGACTACAAAAAGATCGGTGTTTCCCAGTTTTTCTATGTACTCATTGTTTTTTTACTGATCCCCTTCTTTTAAGTATCACAAAATATGCCATTGTTCCAAATATTCAGTTTCTTAAATAAGGAAGAGCCTTTGATTTTTATSCATGTTAACCTGTTCTCACATGCACATCTTTTATTTTAAATGCATGTTTTCTAACATGTTCTTTATTTCAGGGGTGCGACAGGTCTGTGGGATAAGTATTTCCTCTCCGAATGAGGTGGAAGCGGTCAATGGGACCGATGTGAAACTGAAGTGCACCTTCAGCTCCACTCATTCTGTGTCGCGGGACTCAGTAACTGTGTCCTGGATGTTCCGACCCCTCACTGGAGGAGCTGACGAGTCGGTGAGTAGAAACTGTTCTCTGGTCTGAAAGCTACTTTCAGTGTGTACTTTCACCTTTATAACACTTTATAGATGGCTGCAGCCTCTATAGTGTGTATTTGTAGACAGGTTACATCACTGCTGTGTGCCGAAGTCTGACCCATCCTCATGTAGTTCACAAAACCCCCCAAAAAAATCAAAATATCTGCAATAAATTACTCTATATATTTCAGATATCAACTATTAAATTATAACTAATCATAAAGTAAATTTAATATATTGTTTTTTGTTCTGACTAAATATAAGTCTAATTACAGATCTCCTAAATGACATCAGG